TCCCAGGCTCACGCCACCACCTGCTGGGCTGCGTGGGCCCCGGGGCCAACCAGCCTCAGTGTCCCCACCTGCCAAGTGCGGCCCCAGGAAGAGCATGGGCATCCACAAGAAGGGACCAGGTAGCCACTGGAGTGGCCCAGGTCTGGTCCCTGCAGCGATGCATCACTGTCCTCACCTGAGGATTAGCCCTGGTGGCCAGAGCAGGAGGAGGCCACAGGGAGGAGGCCGGACAGGCAGCACCCCCCTCCCCCCTGCAGGCCGCGGGAGAGGAAGCCATGGGGTTCCCCATCCCCGCCCCCCACCCCCGCTGTGGGCTCAGCTCCTGAGACCAGATGAGAAGCAGCTTGGGGGGCAAGGAACCCCAGGTGAGGGGACCCGTGGACCCTCAACACGCTGGACCGGCAGCGCCACACCAGCCAGGCTTCGGGTCCCACGGCGGGTCCGGTGGGGCTGAACCTCGGGCCTTTCCTTGCCTGCACTGGATGGTGGAGGCAGCCCGAGTCCCGTGAGGCCTGAGTGTGCGAGCCCAGAGAGGCCACACAGGGAGAGAGGGACACCCAGAGACTGGGATGGGGAGAGGAGGGGGTGCAACCCTGAGGGGCCCCAGGACTCAGCCAGCCTCTGCTGGCAGAGCCACCACTGCCTCCAGGCCCTGCTCCACCGCCGCCTCCTCCAGGAAGCTCACCGGGTGCACTCATGAGCTGGGAGAGCGGGTGGTCTGCCCAATGCCTATGGCCGGGGGATAACAGGAGAGGGGCTATGCTGCCAGCAACACAGCACAGAGCGGAGGGCCCCCCAACGGCCCTTCCAGGCTCTCAGCCCTCACCATGGGGAGCCTCCCACAGAGCAAAATGGGGTCACCTGAGCCAGACAGGGGTGGGGTGCATAGAGGCCAGCAGAGGTGTGCTGTGCACCAGCCCCAAGTGTCCCAAAGGCCGAGGGCTGGGCAGGCCCATGGGGGGTCGTAAAGGGAGCCTGGGCAACAGCACAGCCTGGGCACCTGTCCCTTCCAACAGCGGGTCCTGGTCCCCACGGGCACCACCCCCTATGCCAGGCCCGGGCCCAGCCACACCACATCCACATCCACATCCACACCCTGTGGCCTCGAGCGAATGACAGAGCACCTGAGACCTCACCTGGCACCAGGGCCAGGTGTGCCCTCGGGCGCTCACCGCAGGGTCCAGGGAGGCGATGTTAGTAAAACCCTCGGCTGGGGCGGGTTCTCTCCACCAGGTGAGCGGTTACCTGCCGTGACCTGGCGGGAGGGCGATGGTCCAGGTGGGCGTCTCGGCCACACCTCCACCCCTCCCGCCTGGGCCCTGCATCTCAGGGGCCCGCACCCCAGGGCTGGGACCAGACCGCTCGCCCAGAGAAGGGACCATTCTTCCCCTGGAAGGTGCGGGGCTGTCTGGGTCCCTGGGGACCGAGGACAACTGGCGCTGTTGCCACCGTGTCCTCGCGCCACCTGTGCGGGCGAGGCTGGCGCCCGAGGCTGGCCCAGGGGAGCCCGAAGCGAGCTGGTTTTAGGTTGCTTTCTTAGAAGCCTCGGCTGGGGCAGGAACAAAGCTGAACTTTAGGAGAAAAGAATAAAATAAAGGCTTGGTTTACCCTGTGCGGCAGCCAGAGGAGAGGGGGCCAGGGCCCGGGCGGCCACCTGCCAGGAAGGGAGGCACCTCCTCACCTCCCCTGCCGGTGGGGCCTGCCTGGCACCTTGTCCCTCTGCCCCTCTGCCCCCCCCACTGCTTCCCCAGAAATGCCCCCT